TTAACAGGGAGAGAGAAGTAGATAAGGGGGGGGGGGGGGTGGGGGTAGGTAGGGTGTCTTAATCTGTAATGTTAATGATATTGAAATTATTTAAAAGTATAGTCACAGAGGCAGCTCAACTTGAATTTTAAGGATCGGGGTCAGTGAAAGTCTGTGGTCCCTCAGCCCTCCCTGAAGAAGGTGGGAACTCAGAGTGCCGAGTCCTTTCCCGGTGGCAACTGCCATTCCTGACCTCAAATAGATGCGTATTGAGGCATCGTGCTCCCAGCAGCACATCTAAATGATCTGAAAAGTTTTGCTCCTAAGAGGTCATCGGTTATTTGGGAGCACACAAAAGGAAGGACTGGACCCTGTTCTTACACAGAATTATGAATCACTGAGTACTTCTGCCTAATCCAAAAGTAAGGACTCACTCTTGGCCACAACAGGTTCATAAGGGCAATATTCTTAGGGTGGTTGGTAAAACAGTTCCCTGTACTTTTGCTTACATTAGCTTTCAATCAAACTTCAGTGTCAACTGGGGAAAAAAAGGAGTAGTTCGCTTTTTCGGAGGGAGGGGCACATGCTTTTCGGAGCATATGCTGTGGGTGTCTATATTCATATTCTCTCTTGTACACCTTCAGCAATTATTCAAGAAAGAACCAAAGTCCCATTCCATAACAACGCTTACTAGTTGAAATGGGAAAAGAAGCAATGCCTGTATTCCTTATACACAAACAAACAGCTTTTAGAAACAAATGTTTGTAGATACTAGCATCTAGTAACATCATAACTGATTTTATCACATTGTATCTGTAAAGTACAAGAGTTATCACGTTGTACCTGGTCATTCACACCTGTGAGATAGCATATCTTAATTTGGCTGTAGGGGGTTATTTAAACTGATTGAGAAGAGAAAGGGAAGGGAAAGACCTTGCTTTGATTTAGAGAAATTTCAAAGTCAGACTGAAGCTGAGAACACGTTCTCTTTACAGCACAATTATATAACAACAAGCATGTAGTCCCAGTTAAAATAAATAAATTATTCTTGCAAAATACATAAATCCCTTTAATTTTCTTTCAATCATATCAAAAAACCTACATAAATTTCTCAGGCTAAAATGGGACGCAACAGTCAGGTAAGGCCAGAGGTAGAGAGCTGGTCAGTTAGCTATTAGAGAAAACTATGCTGGGGTTTAATTTCACACTTTTAAAGCATATCAAGATCCTTAGAAAACAACATCTATAGGCAGAATAAGTGTTTCTCTTATTAAAAATATTGATGATTTCTTGTTTATTTATCACTGTATAAAATCCATGGGCAAGAAAAAAAACCACTGGATTTACTTTTTTTCCAACTGAAGAGTGTGGCTTCTCAAGAAGTAAATTCCCCTGACACAACAGAGATAGTAATGGCTAATATGTATGTTATTATCTTTACATGACAGGTTATGAGATATGCATACAGGTACTGAAAACCTTTTTATGTCTTAGCCTGAAAATTTTTCACTACAGTCAGAAGCAACACAGCTTAGGATTTTTTCCCTCTTTCTGATGGTCGCTACTTTGTATGTCAAACTAGCAAAGTCAGAGGCTTGATCCTGCCTAAAAACGCCTGTGTTTCTACATTTGTGTTGGTACATGTTTGAAAGATCTGTTCCATGAAGAGAAGCTAATGATAATAGACAGAAATACAGCTTAGAGCTGTGCAGTGTGTTGAAGATACTGAGCAGTACAGCACAGCTGGTTTCTTTGCAACATCAATGACATTTGCTTTAAGTTAATTTATTTCCTAAAATTTCTGAATGCTACTTTTAATTAAGAAGACTGAATCCTCTTCTACACTTTCATTATGAAGCAAACCACAATCAGTTTTTAGCTTACCATTAGTAAATACAAAAATTTTCATGAGAACACACCCGGGCATAAGGGAGGTGCAGGAACTGTACGTGTGGCTTCCTTTGAAACAGAAACATAGGGGCAGCCTTGACACACAGGACCCACGACCCAACTTGTCCACTATTCTGTCTCTTAGAGTGGAGACTACTATGTCCCTCAGAGAGGAATACGAAGAACTTGAGAACAGCCAGGTACCAAATCAGCTGCTCACCAAGAGCAGTCCTTCCAAGCCATTCACAGGGAAGCTCACTCATGGTCTTTTAAAAACGAGTAAGGCTAGGCAGTGAGGTGCTTGTTACTATCGAATCGTTCTCAGTAAACCACGTCCATTTTTCAGGCATGTACACTAGAATGTGAAGGAAAGCTGCCTTCTGCCAAAGCCTGGGAGACCTGCAAGGAGCTCCTGCAACTGGCAAAGCTGGATCTTTCTGAGGATGGCAACATTTCTCCAGGAGAGAAGAAGGAGCTGGATGAGAACCATTTGCTTGCGAAGAAGTATGGAGGCTTCATGAAAAGATACGGGGGGTTCATGAAGAAAATGGACGAGCTCTACCAGGTAGAACCGGAGGATGAAGCTAATGGAGGAGAAATCCTGGCTAAGAGGTATGGAGGGTTTATGAAGAAAGACTCAGATGACGATGCCCTTGCTAATTCCTCTGATCTGCTGAAGGAGCTCCTAGGAACAGGGGATAACCCTGAAGCAGGGCATTACCGAGAGATAAATGAAAATGACGGGGACGTCAGCAAAAGATATGGAGGCTTCATGAGAAGCATAAAGCGCAGCCCCGAATTGGAAGGTGAAGCCAAAGAGCTGCAAAAGAGATACGGTGGTTTCATGAGACGAGTGGGCAGACCAGAATGGTGGCTGGATTACCAGAAACGATACGGTGGGTTTCTTAAGCGCTTTGCCGACTCCATTCTCCCTTCAGAAGAAGATGGGGAAACTTATTCCAAAGAGGTCCCAGAGATGGAAAAGAGATATGGTGGATTTATGAGATTTTAACACCTTTCCCTTTATCCCTTTTGTCCTAAATGAGAAAGACTGCCTTATTGGTCATAACTTATTGTAACGTGTTGCTTGTACTGTACAGTTTTTTACTGTCCTTGGTTAATGATGCTACCTGCGATTTGTTGTTTCAGGTTCTGTGTTCTTTCAAGTCAAATGACTAATTTCTGTTTTAGTCAAGTTTCAGTCTGTATTGTAGTTTCCATGCTAGAACTATTTTGATTACTGTATTCATTTTCTTCAAAGAGGAAGTACATCTACAGTAGAGTTGCTTAACTGTATATACAATAAATTCTTCATCCTAACTGCATAAATTCTGAAATGTTATTTGTTTTCTCTCAGTCATTTAATCAAACAACATCTCAATTTTTTTTAAGCAATCAGAGCAATGCCAACCTCTTTTCTGTAATTACAGAATTTGTACTGCACACACAACAGCTGAACCATTTTTTTTCTTTAGTTGTCACAGTTTCTTAGCATACTAGAATAATAAATATGCTCTAAAGTGAATATAACTGTATTTGCTCTAACAGCTCTCATTTTAACCAGTTAACAGAATAAATGTTTAACACCTAAATTTATAATTCATAGTGTTCAGCCAATTTACATTAAAATAAAAAATCCTAAGTGTGTTTGACTTAAAGCACTAAAAACATCTCCAGTGCACAACACAATGCCACATTTGATTCCTTCCACCTTTTATATCCATCCAATATAGGATTGTACAGTTGACCTTAAAGTTATAAACACTAACTCAAAAAGTGGTAAGTCAGTTTGTGCAAAACAAACATGAACCAAAACCACATAAAAAAAACTTCAAAATCCTAATTTTACAGAGAACCTGACAAACGATTTTCCATGGAAGAGCTTTGTGTTTGATTCCTCAGCTGGTATAAATCACTTTGGCACTACTGGCATATGGGAAACTGCTGGTCAGTCTTTTCTGTTTCAAACAAAGGCAGTATAAGTAAATCTGAGAACAAACAGAAAACACAACACTGACACTGTAGATCCTTTGGCATTTACATAGGTGGCACTTACATCAAAGGCCAGCTCCCACCCCAGTGTGTGCTTCCTTCCGTAATTCTGACTGTGCCCCTAGATTCCTAGTCTGTGAGCCCTTTTCCCCCACCTACTGCTACTAGTTAAGTGGTTACTTCCCACTTAAAGTAACATGATAAAAATTGCTTTGACCACCAGCACTAACAACAATTTGAAGTTTCTACAGTCAAAATCTGTTTAGGCTGTTAGCAGCTGATAAGTGCTGAAATAGTTTATGGGAGCTAGGTGTCTAAAACCTTCTGTGGCTCTGCATTCAATATCTATTTCAGTGTTGCACAACACTACCTATTGACACAAAGGGCAAATTAAGGGTCTGACTTTTCTTTAACTTCAAGTCATTGGGATCTTCTAGGTACTCAGGACTTTTAAATATTAAGCTGTGTTTAAACATGCACTTAAAAGCCTCATCACATACAATTAGTTGTGATGATTTTTGGCTTGGCCCTTAGAGGATGATATAGGTGGTCTGAAGCGGCCAAAATCCTGCTGAAGAATTGAGAAAACACAAGGCGTTCCTTCTCCTCCAGTAAAAAGCAGGACACCTATTTTCCTCTTCCTGCTGTACAGAATTGATGATACCAAATTTTAAAAGGCAGAAAATACAAATGCCTGTAGAAGGTCCATGGCCTTTTCAGGATTCAGTTGTGTTCCCTATCACCTTTCTGGAGAGGTCTTCAGGATGGCACTAGCCACAAGAAAAGTCTTCTCCCTGTTCTTTCCCCCAGAGCACCTGCCCACCAGTGGCTGGAGGACATCAGTCGGGCTCCTGGAACACATCGCCCGAGTGGTTTCATCCACAAGCACCTTGGGCTGCACACACTGAGCTTGCTCTGCAGCACAAATCCACGCGTGGGATGCAGACGTCAGCAACAGATTTGCTTCAAACATACACTCCAGAAAGAACTAAAATGACAATGCAGTTGCATCCTTACTCTTTCACTTAGACATTTATTCACTTCCTTTCCCTAAAACTTAATTACTTCTAATCTAGTCAAAGAAAGGCCCTCGCCAACCTCCTAAAACAATCATTGTTGTACCTGATGATGCAAAACTTTTACCAGTTGTCACCCATCCTTCACAATTAACAGAAAATCGGTGATTTAATGAGGAATAAAACTCCCAAAGCTCTAGACACCTAGTATTTATCTTGAAGAATGAAGTGTTTAGATCTACTAAACCTTCCTATTTATATCAATTTGTATAGTAAAAAAACAGTACTTGATACAAACATCTAACTGGGATATATGCATGCAACCCAAAACAGGAGTGAGGGCCAAGGTTGAACAGGAAGGTGACAATGTACATGGAAGGGGGATGCAACTTTGATTCTCTGAATGAAATAGCAAAGCTGAGTAGTCCTCATTCCTTCCATTATAACTGAAAACATCTCCAGTCAGACACTTGCTTGCTTTAATAATTACAATTTAAAAGATGTGAAATTAGAATAAGATCCAATTTCTTCTGTTGACGTGGAATTTCTTATCTTATGACTTTCAGTTATGCCATCACTCAGGGGCTCTCTAACACTAAAGTGTTCTAACATTCTCAGTAATTAACATTTCAGATTAAATCTGCTCAGAATTTGCCAGTGAATTAAGCAAGGTTTCCTGAAGTCCGCTTTACTAAATCACAAATCAACACTAAGGTTGAAGATAGGGTCTACTGGGCTGGGAGATGAAAAAGGGCATCTCACTCTTGGTCCGAGTTCTGAAAAGGTCCCCTAATTTCCCTCTTACAATACATTCCTAGAACTGTCACTTCATCGGAAGATTATTGAAACAGCTGTATTATCTAGATAAAAGCAGAAAGGAGGAAAGCCTGATGTCTGGAAAGAAAATTAATTGCAAGAGTATTCTGAAGGAAGAAATGTCATCCTGAGACCAAAAACCAAATTCTACATTTCCTTTCCCTGTTTTTTATTATTGGCTTGGCATTTTTACACAGCACTCAATATTCCAGAATATGATCAAATATAGTATCATTGGTCTGAATACTGAGTAAGTACAACAAAAACTGAATATGAACAATGAATGCTGGAAGGGTCTAGACCAGTCAAAAAGATTAATGTCTCTGCATTAGGAACAAAAGGAAGAAAAAGATAGTCTAGTTGAGGTTAGGCAAGGATAAGATGGGCTTTTTAATAGGAACTAATTAGAAGAAGGAAGAAAAAAAAGGTGGGGGGGGGGGATTTCCTGAACCAAATGGAGTTCACATGCAGGAACAGATCATGAGGGAGAGAGAAGCTGATGAATACAATGATTTCTGAATACCAAACTGCATGCAGCTGGAGTTCTGCTGGAAAACCTAAGCTTAAATCTTGGGATAATGAGGAAATGTCATAGAGCCATTCCCACATCTCAGATGAACTTGGCATATTCTATGATCTGAAATATGCAGAGCATAACTTTGAATATCCTGGGGTTTTTCTTCTGGTAAATGAATATGCAGTATGATATACAATAAATATAAATAACTACAAAATTATTATTACAATAATTATTTTGTAATTATGTCTAAATCATTATAATAATTTACTTTATAATTGTTTATAACCATATCATAAATACAAGTAATTGTAACATCAATGATGTTAGCTGTTTCAGATAATGTTTCCCAAGATAGAATCTTTATAAGAACAGAAACATATTCTAGTTTAATATATTTAAATAAGTATTATTAAACTGTGTTCAGCATAGACTCTAAATATGCACTGGCTCATTTTAATTCTGAAGGGAACTTAATTAACAAGAACCAAAGTTTTCAGTGTATGGTGTATAAGGGCCTCTCTGTCATTAAGGGTGGGGTTAGAGGCCTATATATAAGGCAAAATGACAAATTCATGGCACAACTCTACAGTTTATCTATACATCTCAGTGCCACGGAAAATTTTCTTTACAGCCTTCTTCCTCAAGCACTACTGAGCTCAGCCAGATACAAACAGCAAGATTCCTTCTTATGCCAACCAGAGCATCCCAGAATTTGCAACTTAAAAGGCAAATGAACAGTTAAGTTCCCTGACCCCAGGTTGCTTGGAGAATGAAGAAATTCCTGGTATATGTTAGCTGGCCTTGAAACCCATTTTATTTACAGTGACGTTCTGGGACAATCCCAGGGAGCATACCATATTTCAAAGCACTGAAGTGGGATCAAAAGAGTCACACAGAGAACAGTTTAACCACTTCCCTATCAGACTCTTAAAACTTTCATGCTTCTCTTCAGTTCCCACCAAGATGGGTGATTCAAGCATCGCCAAAGAGATCCCTCTACCTGACAAAGCTTTGCAGTCTGGTCTCTTTCTCCAGCAGCAGCCACTTTGGCAGTGCACAGACTTCATCTCTTCCACTTCCTCTGCAGTCCTACCACCTCTCATAGAAATCACTTTGTCAGCCTCCACTCACAGCCTTGGCTATAATTTCACTACCCACAACACTGAGGTTTCCTTTCTGACTCAAACCATAAAAGACAGTTGTATACATTTAATTGGAGAATGACTAAGACCCCCAGCTCCAAGTCCTAACTGTGGAGGCTAGGTGGCTATTTTTAGATTTTCTGCTTTTAATATTTTGGTCATAATCCTTTGTTGCCCACAGCGTTAAAAACAGTTATACGTATCAACAGGAATGCACTGATTACATCAAATCTGTATCATAACTGTATTTCATAATACCATAACTATATTGCCATTATAAACCACTATTCCACCCACCTGATAAGGGTAGGGAGCTATCATGAACATAGCTGTACACAATGAACAGGGTAGCAAAGCCAGCTGTAAATCATTAATCCGAGCATTCAATTACTAATCCCATCAGCCTCATTGAAAGCATTTAAACTGACAGTTGCATATCCAATTAACTGTTGCTATAGAAAATGAAAATGCTTAGAGATATTTGACAGACAAATCTTTACTGGCCCAGCAGGGATTTAGACTGAATTTGTTTAATTAGATTGTGACTTTACCTAAATTGAGCATTTACTGTAATCCTTGCTGAAACCATGGAATGAAATCTCTCAAGGTTAAACAGTCATCACAAAAGCGCATCACTCTGCTAAATGATTTGTTAAAAGCACTGCACTGCTTCCTCAAGGACAAGGCTGGCATGTCCTTGTAGACAGATTATGAGTGCCAAACCTTTCCATTGCTATTCATGTCTGTAGATATACAGGGCCACACATGACCTTTGCCTCTTGCCTTTCTGCCATTGCTCCCTTTCTCGGCACAGTCTTCTCTGGCCCAACGGTGACTGC